CCCCGCACCCCCGCCCCTCCCCCCACCCCCGCAGGCGCGGCGCCGGTGGGAACAGGAGCGGCAGCGGCGCCTCTGCGCTCAAGTGACAGCGCCTTTGTCTCTGCTGAATGGGTGCGTTGCTAAGGCCGCTCGTAGCAACGGAGCCGCTTCCACCTCGGCCCCGCGGCCGGCCCCACCCTCCGGACCCCCAACCTGCCTCGCCCTCCCTCCGGACGCCCTAGCCCCCCTCCCCCTCCGCAGCCCGCGACCTTCTCAGGGGTCCCTCACGAGGCAGCCACCGCCCTTCCCGAAAGCCTCCGGGCATCAGGTGTTCGAGAGAAACTGAGGCTCAGAGAGGGGATGGGGGAGACCTCCCAGGGCCTCCCCCCACCGCCGGGGCCAGAATTCCGCCCCCCCCCCCCCCCCCCGGCCAGGGCTTCCCCCAGCCTCAGTTCCCAGTCCCCTCCAGGGGCCCCCACCACAATTCTCCGCCAGCTTAGCCCGGCACCTTCCTCCCAGGTTTCTAGAGAGAGTGCGAGCGGACGGACCTTCCCCCAGGCTCTGCGTGGGGGCCTCTGAAAGGCCCCGGCGGGGACCCCTGCGGGACAGACAGCAGCCTCTGCCTCAGCCTTGCCCTGCTTCCAGTAGGACCCCTGCCCTGGTGCGGTGCCAACGCTGCTGCGCCCCCCAGCTCAGCCCCCGAACTTTGTCCAAGATTGTCCCCCCCACACCCTGCCCGCCTGCCTGGAAGTTCTGACAGCCCCGTGGTAGCTCTCGTAATAAATAGTACTACTGTGACCTGTTCCTCCCTGGGGGTCACCCTGGCCTGGGGAGTCCCTGGGGGGAGGATGGGACAAGGGAAGTGGCCACTTTGTCTTTGGGACTCAAGACAACCCCAGTTTCATCAACAGGGTAGGTGCAGCCAACACTTCTTAGCACCTACTGGGTACCTGGCTGGTACTGAGCCCTTGATTGCCTTAGAGCTGTGGGTCCTCACCTCAGCCCCGTGCCCACCGTCGCCCCTGTTGTACAGAGGAAGGAACAGGCTCAGAGACGGTCTCCCCACCTTGGGGCCAAGGGGTGGCAGTCACGGTGAGGTGGAGTCACACAGAAAAGACTGCTCAGAGAAGGCATCAGGGCAGGTGGGACTGGCTCCAGGTACAATGGCTCATGCTGCGGGGAGACCCCAGCTCAGACTCTGGCTACGGGACCAGGTCCGGCCACCACTGACTCTGTGGCAGGGGGCAAGACTCTTCTGTGAGTCCGGGTCCCTTCTTAGGCAGAGCTGGCAGCGGTGGTGATGTGTTAGGGCACCAGGGTGGGCCCTGAGGTGGAAGCCAGGCGCAGGAGGGGCCCAGGGACTGCTAACACTGTCCTGCTGACCTCAGGCTGGCCCAGAGGCTGCCGGAGCCAGAGGATGTGGCACAGCCGGGGAGCATCCGAGCAGCCTCCCTGGAGGAGGCGCACGTGAGTGGAGGCGGGGCAGGGTTACATGAGAAGCCCTGAGACCCAGCCAGGGACAAGTTGCACCCAGTTCTCCCCACAGCCTTATGTGTCGCTTCCACCCTGGGCCCCACCTGGCTTGTCTGGGACAAAATCCATAGAGGGGTTGACCCATCAGGCAAGGACAGGGGGCCGGGTATTTCATTCTGGGGATGGGGGCTGTCGAACCTTCTGAAGCCCCTCATCTGCAGAACGGGGGCCATCAGGCCCCACCCCACAGGCGACAAGAGGGGTAAGTGCAGTCTTGTGTGCTAGTCCCTGGGCCCAGCACACAGTAGGAATGTCGGCTGTCTTCAGAGAAGGATGTGCAGGGGACTGGGGGCGCACAGAGCCCGCCGTGTAGAGGAGGTGATGTATAGGGCTTTGAAGACCCCCCAGCAGAGACGGAGGCCGGCAGGTTTGGGCAGTGGGGGAGGCAGCAGCGGTCCGCCTGCTCTGGGAAGGCCCAGCAGTGCCGTAGGGAGGAGTGCCAGGCTGGGGACCACCGCTGAGGTTCCAGAGAACAAGGCACTCAGCCTGGCTGTCTGCTGCCACGGAGCCGGAGGAGGGGCGCCGCGACACGGGGAAGCAGGAAGGTGGCTCTGAATTGGGCGGCCACTTGGTCTCTACTGCCTGCATTTGCAGTGCCCTCTGACTCCTTCCCCTCACCTCCAGGGGAGGCCTGCCTCCCCGCTGACTAATCATGTGGTCATGTGGACTGGCGGGCCGGCGGCGGGGGAGGTCCCGGAGTGGCCCCCAAGGAGTCCTTTCCGGTCTCCCCTCCTCTTACTCCATACCCTTCCTCCCACCACCACCCCCTTTACTCTCCAGCCCAGACAACTTCGCTTAGGTCCCCAGCCACCTGCCCACACTGCCCCCAACTCTTGTCTTAGCTGGCAAACCCCCGGACATCCTTTAAAACCCAGCTTGGGTGACACCTGTGCCGAGAAGACTTCCTGCCGCCCCAGGGGCAGAATCAATCCCTTCCTCCTCTTCGCTGGCTCTTATGTGAGGGATCACACAGGATTAGGAAATGACTGAGAGGCCTCCTGCAAGACTGGAAGCTCCCCAGAGGCAGGAACCTGAGCATCTGCTTCACTTCTGAAGGTGCCAGGCGGGAGAAGGACACTTCTTCTTTGCATAAAAGCCACTGCCAGGCTGTGTGCCTGGGGTAGGGGGGGCATCTTTTTTCTGTCGTGCACAGAGGCATGAAGTGGTCCGCGAGCGGCCCCAGGGGTGAACTAGTCAGGTCGGTCGGGATGATGGAGGTTGGCGTGATGGCTCTGCCCCTTCTTGATGTGGGACCTTGGACAGGCCACTTGACCCCTCCGGACCTCGGTTTCCTCATCTGTAATCTGGAGCTGCCACCTACCGAACTGGCTTTGGGGAGCAGATGGGACAACAAAACGAGACAAAGCCGGTGAAGCCCTGGAGGACATCTAGAGCAGAGGCAGCTCGCCTCAGAAAGCAGCTGTGCTCACTGCTGCCTCCCAGCGGGGGAGGCAAGAGAATCAGGGAAGACGGGCCAGTCCCGGGGCCACCAGGCGGACCGAGAGGAAAGGGCCAGTGCTCCCAAGTCAGGAGGACCCGGGTTTGAATCTGCCCCTGCAGATCCCTGACTGAGGGGCACCTGCCAAGTGCCTCTCCTGGGTCCTAAGCCCTGCCTGACTGGGCTACCGTAGGGACAGGGCCATGAGGGACCGCACACAGTAGGTGCTCATGAAATCACTGCTCCCTTCTGCCCAAGATGGCGGTTGAGATGCATGGCCAGGGTGGAACTCCGGCTGAGGCCCCGGAAGACACAAGCATCTCCCAGGCCTCCTGGGCATGGCAAGGTCCCAGGGATGATGTGGGGCCCACAGGCTCCCCAACGGTGCCTGGTGTACCCCCACTCTGGTCCCAGGTTTTGAACCAAAGCTTATCTGACTCTTGCGCCCATCCCCATCAGAGCATCTCCCCGCCCGAGACCACCCAAACCCACCTTGGAGGTTCTGCCTTGGCCCCAGAATGTAAATAGGCAAAGGTAGCTGGAAACTAATTGCAAAATTTATTCCAGGGCTGCAAGGGCTGGGGAGATTCTTAAGGGCACTTCTCATTTGGGGGCTGTGGGTCTCTGGCCTCGGCAGGGGCACACATTTCAGTGGGCAAGGGTGGGCACTGAGACAGGGCGGTGGAAGGCAAGGGGGAACGGATGCCCAGTCACCTCCGACTGGGCAGGCTCAGCACAAGCTGCAATGGCAACGTGAAAGCAGGAAAGACAGTGGATGCCCAGCCCGGGGACAGAGGACAGCCAAGGCCTCCCCCTAGCGCCTGGCCCTGGAGAGCGTCCTTCAGGACACAGGGCGGGAGGAGGCCAGGGAGCTGGGACCCAGCTTCAAGGGTTTGCAGCAAGGGACCCAGTGGGACGGGGCCAATGAGGAAGGGGCTTATCAGCAATGTCCCCCATCTGGAGACCCATACACCCTCCTCAAGTTCACCCATATTCCCACACAGAGAGACTCCGAGCCCTGACAGGACACCCTGCTGTCCATCGAAGGAGGGGCAAGCAACGACTCCTCTCTGGATTGAAACAATGGTCCAGCACCACCCATGGGGTACTTGGCATGCGGGTGTTTGGAGAGAAACCACGGGCTGTACCTGGGGCTAATCCCCAAGTCCCAGCCTCAATCCTCAAATCCACCCCCTGCCCTGCCACACACAAACCTTTCCAAGAGTATCTAGAGTGCTAGATTAAAAAACAAATCAAACCCACAAACCCACAAACCTCTTGACTACAGCCTTTGCAGATACATACCAGCCTGGGCTGGCCAACTGTGGGTGGGGCTAGAATGTTCTAGCTCCCTGGTGGGAGAGGGATAGAAACTTCTCCTCCGGGGGGAAAGGGGTAGAGAGAGCTGATGGTAGTGGGATTCTTTTCAGATAGCATGTCGGAGTTCTCCCCTGCACAAGTCAGATGGGGCGTAAGGGCTAGGGAGGAGGGCTTGGTCCTAACCTGCCCCCTAGTGTCCTCTAGGCCCCACAGTGCCTGACCAACTTTGCAAACTCAGTGACTCCTAGTTTACAAAACAGAGGGCTTCCCTCCTGGTCTCTGGGAAGGGGTTCTGGAGACCCTCTCTTCTCCCCCAGTTGATGCCCCCTCAACGTCTCTCCGCTTCTGTTTCCCAGGGAGGGGAAAGGGACGACTTCTGACCCGAGGGACGTGGAGGCCCACCAGGGAATCCCGAACCTCCTCCCTGGACCTGTGCTTCCAGACTCCAGGACAGACAGCTGGGAGCAAGGGGAGGGGGAGGGGGTGCTTAGCAGCCGCCTTCTTGGGGCCCTCTGAGTGGCAGACAGCTGCCCGTGGGGCCACCCTAGGTCAGCCAGGCCCCATCCCCCCTCACCCAGCTTCCCAAACACGGGGCTTCAGAGAGCACAGGGGCAGAGGGGCTTACAGGGTGGGGCTCCTGGGTCGCAGAGTAAACTCAACCATCTGGAGGGCCTTGGGGGTGGCTGCGACCCCCAGCCTGGCCCCAGGCCTGGCCCCACCCAGCCCAGGCTCAAGTCTGCTTGGCTTGCAGCATCTCGATGAGCAGGTTGTTGCGGGGCATCTCGTTGCCCAGGTGCTTGTGGTACAGGTACTCCCTGGCCTGCACGCTCAGCGCCCGCACCTCCACCAGGCATAGCAGCAGCTGCTGGAACTTGTCCCCGCAGTGCGGGTAGTGGCACAGGGTGTAATCGAGCAAGGCGGCATTGGCCTTCTCCTGAGCGTCCTTCACCAGGCTGTGGTTATTCATGAACTTCACATCTGCAAAGGGAGGAGCTCTGTCACCAACACCGGCCCATCACATCGGCCGCGGTCACCGGCAACACCAACACCAACATCCCCTAGAAGCACCAAAGATGAGGCGCTGCCACCGTCAAGGACATGGCCGGGCCTCCCATCGCCACGGGAACCACCATCATCAGGGCTGGGGAGCACGGCCACCAGCAGCAATCACCGATATTGACTGCCCCGTGTCCCTCCCAAATGTGGCCACTGCCGCCACCATCAACCCAACCGTTTCTGTCACCACCGTCGGCAGTGGTCACCGACGCCGACCTCTCTGCAGGTATCCCAAACACGGCCACTGCCACCATCGCCCACCCAACCATGATCACCTGTCACCATCATTATTGCCACTGCCACTACCCCACTGGTCACGAGGAACATCTCCATCACCTCCAACACCACCCCAACCTCACCAGCTATCTCCCCGGGCACGTGATTCAACTTCTCAGTTTCCTGCAAAACGGTGACAAGAGTACCTACTTCACAAGATTGTTGGGAGAATTCAGGGACTTGGGCGGTGGAAAGTGCATGGAGAACAGTGTCGGGCACGTGAGAAGGCCAATATGTCACCATCATTACCTCTACTCTCACCCCACCATGGTCAACACCATCCCCAGCCCCAGGGTCACCTGGGCGGCTCAGTCAGTTACGCATCCAACTCTTGATCTCCATTCAGGTCCTGATCTCAGGGTCATGAGTTCAAGCCCCGCGTTGGGGTCCACGCTGGGCGTGGAACCTACTTCAAACCAACCAACCAACCAACCAAAAAAACCATCCTGTTGCCATCATCCCCACAGTGGTCACCATCAGCACCATCAGTTGCCGGCACGCTGTGATTGCAAAGGTCCCATCTCCCAGCTGCCAGGCTCAGGCACTGGTGGCCCTATTCTGGAGAGCGACAGGCACTCCTTTGGTCTACCCTGTGACTGACCAAGAGCCTCTAGCACCGCAAGGAGACTCCCTCGTGGAGCCTTGGGGCATGAGGACGCTGCCACAGCAGCATCTAGGGGGTCCCACGAGGTAGACACAAGCAAGGGAGCAGACCTACCACAGAGCAAATGGGCAGATCTTTAACAGCCTAGAGCTCGGTGGAAAATAACAGAAAAGGAGGATCTCATTCTCGAATGAGATCCACAAGGCAAAGGCGTCTACGTAAATTAAACATGCTTGTGCAGAAGCACGCACATTAGGTAAGAACAGGGACTAACAGGGAATCCAAGTTAAACGTGAAGGCGTGGCCGCCTGTGGGAGGGACGAGGGCAGTCAGCTCTGCGTGGACCGGTGATCACTTGTGCCAGGGACAGGGGAGTGTGACCAGTGCTTCCTGCACGCCCAGTGGAGGTCCAGCGAAGACATGAAAAATAAAATGTCTTTGAAATGAGGCTGACTGGGGTTCAAATCCTAAGCCCACCAGTTAGGAGCCGCGGCTTTGTGCCCTGTCCCCTCCTGGCCTGCAAGGCCTTCTGCCTCTGTGAACGGGGCATGCCCACCTTGCAGGGCTACGAGCTTGAGTGCCAGGGCCTGCACAGGTGTCTGGACCCCAGGGGCACCCAGAGAGGGTCAATTTGTCACTCAAGTCCTCATCACTGCTTGGCAGGTGTCTCTCAGCTGCCGGGCAGCACCCCCAGCTGGTGCCCTGCCTGGCAGCTGAGGTTCAGCAGGAATCTACAGAACCGGTCCCCCACCCCCAAATCCAGCCCAGCCTGGCCTGCGATATGGCATCCGGGGGTTCAGGGAGTGGTCATCCGTCCACTTCCCCTCTGTGGCTGCGGGGGAGTCTGGAGCCCAGCATGTGCAGCCCTTGGCCCTTCTAATCCCTCTTAACACCCACTGCGCCAGGAGGGCTTGATGCTCCTGGCAACCCTGATCCCCAGCCGCCCCCGGTGCGCCTGCTGAGGCCTGTGTTGTCCAAAGTTGGATTTAGGGAAACCTGAGCTGGGCCCAAGGCGTATGGCAGGATCTGGCCCCAGTCCTCCACCCCCACCCCTGGCCCCCTCACCTCCCTTCAGTAAGTGAGCCAGGGTCATTTTCTTCCTTGCCTCCCCAGGATCACCATGAGCCCATAAGGCACCTTTGTGCCAATTACGAAGAAGTTCCCCCTTGTCCGCAGAGACAGTATGGCGAGGGGCATACAAGCTGGAAGTCAGCCCCTATTCATCACCTGCCTAGGTGCCCTTGTGCAGTGAACAACCTCTTCGACTGTGCATTGCAGCCCTGCTCCTTAGCCTGGACTACTCCAGACACACTCAAAGGTCACGGGAAGCCCCCACGCTCTCTGAAGCTGGCCTCCTAGGCACAAGGGGTGACTACCAACCCCGTCCCTGTCCCAACCTCTTTTCATCCCATAGGGTCCTGTCTACCTTCACCTCCCACCCCCACCTCTCCCCACTGCCCCCTGCCCTCCACCCCCAGCCCAGGCTGGGCAATTCTCCTGACATTGCCTTCTAGCAATGCACTGTAGGAAGCTGGGGGTCCAGAGAAGGGTAGGGATGAGCTCAAGGCCACACAGCAATAAGGGGGCCCAGAGGAAACAGCTGGGGTGGAGGAGGATGAGCTAGGGTGCTGCAGTAGAGGCCGGAGTGGGAGGGGGCTGCGAGGAGCAGAGCCTCGGCTTTACCAGGATTTACTGTTCTCCACAGCACCGCAGCACCGTACCAGGGACAATGGGGTGGAGTGCAGGGGGTGGGTACGGAACAAGGACAGCGCTCAGGGGCAGCCCCCACTCTTAGCAGCTCTCTGGATCTCTCAGCTCTCTGCAGACTGGAGACCCCCACCGCCCCCATGCGGTGGGCTACAGGGCTGGGGGAAGGAAGCAGTCACCAGTTAAGCCCTGATGACTATAGTGTAGGCGCACCCAGTTTCCCAGGCACCCGCCGGGCATCGTGCACTAGCTCAGTTAATCCCCACAGACAACCAGGAGGCGGGAAAGGGCATCCCCCAGGCGCAGGGACAGTGGGGTGTGCCTGGGACACCCAGCAGGTGCCAGAGTCTGGATGCAAACCCAGGTCTCCTGGCTCCAAAGCCCGGTGGGTAAGCACAGGCGGGGTCAGGCTTGGACGTCGATTCCTGGGAGGCAGGACATGAAAACTTCGTTTCGTCCGATCCAGGAGTCCTGTCCAAGGACCCCTGGGATCCTAGGTTTCCGAGGCTGCTCTGGACTCCAGACTCCTCTTCCTCCTCACCCTGGAGGAGACCACTGTCAAGTCATGCCCCCTCTCCCACCTCCCCGCCCACCCCACTAAAGGGACTGTCGTGAAGCTTGTGCGATAATGGGTGGGACAGAGCCAACACTGCACTGAACACCATGCCTTTCTTCCATTGGACACGGGAGCAGGGGACACACAGACCTGGAGGTGCCCCCTTAATATGTCGGGGGTTCAAATCCTGGCTCCACCACCAACTGGGTGACCTTGAGCAAGGCCCTCCCCCTGAGCTGTTCCCCGTCATCTGCAAAATGGGGGCACACGAATCTCCACCTCACAGGGTGCCCAAGAGCCGGACCTGATCTGTGTTGCCCAGCTCTGGGCCCCGGGACACCACAGGTTGGAGATGGGCATGGGGGAGAAAAGCCCGGCGTGTACCCACCCCCCCACCCCCCCACCCCCGCCCCAGCCTGCTCAGCTCCAGCAATCCTGGAGGTGGGAGGCGGGAGGGGGCTGGGAGATGGCACCCCCACCTCGGAGAGCAGCCTGCTAGCGCTGTGGAGCTGGGGGCCCCCGGGTTCTCAGAAAAGCCCCCTTTTCACGGTTTAATTGAATATTTGAATAATCCTTTCATTCCAGCGAGGCATAAAGAATGTTGTCCCAATAGCGGTGACTCAGGCAGGCGCCCCCGCGCACAATGGCCCCTCGAGTGGGGCTGCTATTCAGGCCGCCTTTTGTTGGCGCGGAGCAGTGGGTAAATTGCAAACGCTTAAGGGAATGCTGCGGCGGCCGCCTCAATGGGAGTCAGGAAATCGAATGTTAGGTCAATCCATTAAGCTTCGATTAAGTCCTCTCCGGAACAATGCCAGCCGGGCCCATCTTCATAAACACCGCGATTGCCAGGAGAGAGGCACTAATTTTAATTAAACCTCCTTACCTGCCTCCACGCCTGCAGGGAGACGGCTATTTAGACGCCAAATGGCACCCTTCTGCGGAGGCAGGCGGGCAGGAGGCGCTGAGGGGGCTGCAGGCGATGGGGGGGGGGAGGAGTGGGGGGGACAGTCGTCACAGGGGATGAGGCTGCCCAGCCCAGGGAGGTGATGCCCAGCGTGCCAGCTGGAGGTCTAAGGGCAAGTGGCCGTCCCTCTCTGGGCTCCAGGTCCCTTGGGGACCTATTCCTGGGGCCTGGCAGCGGGGAACAGGGGAGAGCCCCACCGCCCTTCCAGACTCTGGGCAGATCTTCCCCCTCATCTTGCCCAAACTTGTCCACTTCACTCCAGCCCCGGGGCTAGCCTCTTGCAGGGCTCTGGGCTGCCACCTGCCATCCTTCTCCCATGCTGCAGCTAGAAGGACCTTGCTAAAATGCAAATGCGATCATGTTACTCCAGCTGAAAAGCCTTCCCAAGGGAAGGGTCAAGGTCCTTGGCCTGGCATTCGAGGCCTTGCTCAGCTCAGTCCCTGCCCGCCTCCCCAGCCTCCGATCCAGCCCCTCCCTGCCCCACAACCACAGCGGACTTCCAGGATTCCCCATCCCTTTGCACAGCCCTTTGCTGCCGCTTGCTTTGTTTCACCTAGAACACTCCTACTCATACTGCAAGGCCCAGCTCAGAGGCCCCTCCTCCAAGAAGCCTTCCTTGATATCTTAGGTGTGGGTGGTTTCTTCTCTTTGGTCCAACCGTGATCACACTGGCCTGCTCAGGCTCCTCCTGGAACCTGTCACCCAACAGCCCCTGTACCTCACCTGGCCTCCTCTCCTTCTGTTCTCCCAGGAGCTCAGGCAGGCCCAGGCACTGGGGCCTCCTCCGCCTCCTCCCAGGCTCAGCCTCACTAGAGTTAGTTTCTGACCTGCTGGGCTGGGCGTCCCCCCTACCCAGCTCGGCCAGACCCGCCTCCCTGTGATAAGGCACTGTGCCAGACACAGAAGCCATGAAGACAGGGACTGACTTGATCATCCAGTCACCTCATTCATTCATTTGCTCATTTGCTCACTGGTGGTAACGGAGAGAAACAACACCGATGCATATCCCAAGGGGCCAGACCGTGCACTGAGCACTTTGGGGGAATTCCCTCATGAAATCCTCATAGCAAATTAAAGATTATTATGATGGTCATCTTACAGATGGGAAAATAGAGGCTCAGAGAGGGGAGTGACTTGCTCAAGGGCACACAGCCAGAGAGAGAGTCCAGATTTAGACTCCAGGCAGTCCGTCCCTAGGCCCCATTCCTAACCACTGTCACTCCCTGCCTCACACGTGTGAACACACACGCATATGTATGCACGCTCTCTCCTGCATCCGGCCCCTCCAGCCTATGCCAGCCAAGCACCGGAGGGAGTCCCTGTCTCTCAGGCCCCAGCTACCGACTCTGGCAAACAGGGGGAAGACTAGCAAGAAGGAGGGGCCGGCACTGAGGCTTCGGAGCATGGCCACTCACCCAGAGCGGGGGAAGAGGGCTGGGCTCGGCTCTGCTACCCTTACACCCCGTACAAGGAGAAGCCCTGGATTTATCGTCTGCTGGAGGCCAGAGTTGTACTGGGCCTGGCGGTCCCCAGCGCCCAGGGCTTTGTTGGAAGAGGGGCAGGGGCTACAGGGGTGTGCCTCGGGCCCTGGTGGGGTCTAGAAAGCCAAAACATGGCACCTGCTCTATAGGGAGGGCTGGCCAAGAAGGCTGGTGGCTGGCAGGCCACCTTCCACCCACCCCTCCTCTGGGCCTCCCTGGAGGCCTCTTGATGGGGCTCAGGTCAAGAAACCACCCTGACCATCACGGGCCCCACACTCCAATTCTATGTGCACTCCAAATCCTTCATGTCTCCAAATCTCGCATCACTCCCCAGTTACATACAGATTCTTTCTACAACATGACATGTAAAAAGCCTGTGAAAGTTCATAGTCTGCGCATGTGTGAAAACAAAGGCGCAGACACAAAGGCACAAACATGCACGTAACTCCTGGAGTCTCCACGCCCCCAAACCACACACCACCATGGCTTTGGGCTGAGCCAGTTCCCAGAGCCTGACAGCTCACAGAGACAAGGTTGGGAGGCGGGTACCACTGGAGGGAAGAAAGAGGGGGCCTCCCCCAGCTGAAGCCAGCCTGGCCTGGACCCCTGAGGCCCCTCCACGGGCTCCAGGCCACATGTCCTAACTGGCTGCCCAAGAGTCCGTCTCCACACCGCACCATGGTTGTCCCCTACCAAGCCTTGTAGCCTTGCATAGAAGCCCTCCAGCTACCAGCCTGCTGTGCTGGAGTCAGGAGACTGGCTCAGGTACCCAGTCACATGGCCATAGCCTGAGGACTGGGCTTCCCACGGTCAACACTTCATCAGTTACCCCCCATCCCACCCAGCTCTCACCACTCTCGGGCAGGCGCTCCCTTGCCAGACTGGGGCTATGAGGTCATCTACCACAAAGAGGACATCTGAATCCTGCCCCTCTCCAAGTGACGAGGCATTCATTCCCTTCTGTTCTGACCTTACATCCCATCTACACCTCTGCTAAAAGATTTATCCTTCCAGCAAACTCCTGCTTATCTTCCAAGGCCCTGCTCAGATGTCCCTCTTCCAGGAAGCCTTCTAGGCAGAGCCCTTGTTCCCCACTCCGGGTCCCCCATCTCCGTCCCCGCCCCTGCAGCACTAGCTGGAGGCCTATACCGGACTGGGAGCCACCTGACAGCAAGGACACGTTCATGTTCACAACATTGCTGGACCCGGGGAAGGCACGGATGGCTTGCTAGGTGAGGGAGGACAGGAGGCCAGCCTGAGGAGAGCACCGAGGAGGGTGGAGGCTGGAGCGGCAGGGGCTGGGTGCGTCAGGAGGGCGATGAGAGGGAGACCCCTGACTTGGGGAGTGGGGCTGGTGGACTGGGCTCACCCTCTGCCACTTCCCTGCTTTACTCTCCTCCTTAGCCCTGCTCACAGTCTTCCAGGCGGTACATTTTACTAATCATTTCACTCATTTCTATAGCTTACTAATTATATTATCCTTATTGCCTCTCCCTGGAGAGAAGGTTGGCTCCATGACAATATGGATTGGGGATCTTTTTTGTTCACCCCGTGTCCGCAGTGCCTTGCAGAGTGCAGATGCTGAGCAGGTGTTTGTAGAATGAATACATGAATGAATGAATGAGTTGGGGAGCCCAGAGTCAGAATTTGCCCCCCCCAGAGCAGGGAACCGAGAAAACAGGGACCCCAGGATGGGAGCCAGGGAACAGAAGCTCCCGAAATCACACAGGCGTTTTTCCGGAGGTGACCTGGGCACTTTTCTGGGGCTTCCAGCCAGGAATTTACCGAATTTTCGGGAGTCCTTGTCCCACAGAGGGCTAATCTTAGACACTGTCTTGGTCCTCTGTACTTTCCAACAGGGAAACTGAGGCCCAGAGAGGAAACAACCGCCACTTGAAGAGCCAGGCCTGTCCCCTCCTACCCTTACTCACCGCAGGCCCCGGTCCCTGCCCCCAGCGGAGCCGCCGCCCCCCCCCCCCTCCGGGGCAGAGCCTCACCGAGCCAGGCCCAGGCCCACCACCTCCGTGACCCCCGCCTCGCCGCCCCAGGCCGGGCCGGACGCACTCACCGAGGCTGAAGAGGATGAGGAATTTGAGGCAGACGAACTCCTGGCGGTCCAGCTGCAGCGCCAGCAGCTGCAGCACCAGCTCCTGCGCCCGCAGGACCAGGCTGTGCAGCAGGGAGCCCGCCTGGGCGGCCACCGTGGTCAGCTCCACCTGCGCGGGCGGACGTCAGCGTCAGCGGCGGGCGCGGCGGGCGCCGGGGCGGGGGCTCTGATTAGGGACCGGGGGCGGGAGGAGGCTGGGGGGGGTGGGGGGCAGCATCTCCCAGCGCCGCAGGAGCCCTCCGAGCGCCACAGCAAGGGTCCCGCCTTCCCAGGGTTCCTCGCGCGGCGGCCGCCGAGCCGGCCCTGGGCAGGTGGGTGCAGAGGGACAGCTGAAGGGTCCTTCTCCCGCAAACAGCTGCTGCCAGGCGCCCTGGTATCTGCAGCAAACGCCACGTCGTGCTGGGTGTGGGGCAGGGTCGGGGCCGGTCTGCCCGGATCCACGTGCCCATGGCCACGGGACTGCCCAGGGCCCCACACGCCCACACGTGGGCACCCAGGCTGGGGATGTGGTCACACCTCAGCTCCCAGTCTCACACACCCATGAACACACTCACAGGGCGGTCCACCCGTTTCATGAAGTGAACACACACGCACACACAGGCCCGTGTACGGTCACCTCACAAGGTAACGCAACAGACACGCACCCACGTATGAATTCCCACACATGGTGACAGGCAGAACTCAACAACCACACGCTTACGCGTGGGGAGATATGGCCTCAGAGACTTCGGCCGCATGTTGACACAGGCCAACACAAACACGCTCATCCCTCAGACTCTCCTGTCTGCGTTCACAGGTGGCCTCCAAGTCATGCCTTTGGGACCAGCACTCCCGGGCCCTGGATGCCCTGAGACACCCAGGGTGAGAACAGAGCACGAGCACCGGGGGCCTGGGTTGGAGATAGGTGATGGAGAGCAGGGCCTCAGCCTCCAACTCCCACGCCCAGAGCACCTGTTAACCACTCTTCCTCCTGTCTCCCCCTCAGGACCCGTGCTCCCCCCGCCAGCCTAGACCCCGGCATCCAACCTCTCTTCTTGCTCTCCCTCTTTCCCTCCATTGCTCCCACACCTCCTCCCTCAGCTGGGGGCCCTCCTCCTTCAGCGGCCCCCTCCCAGGTCCCCAGCATTCCACAATGGCCTCGACTTCCTCACCCCCCACCCCGCCCCCTCTGTGTGTTTCCTCAAATACAACCTGGATGAGCCCTTCCTCACTTTAAAACTCTCCCGTGGCTCCCTGCTTGATTTCAGGAGTTCCCAGCTCCTAGCCTAGGGCTTCTAATTCCCTGCTCTGGGGCAGGGCGGGGGGCCCAAATTCCTTCGCCCATTCCTTCATTCACTCAGGATTCAGGGTCTGTCCCCAGCCTTACCTCTCACCTCACAGGGCTCCTGGCCCCCCCAAACCCACATACTAGCAGCCTCTGGTAACTCGGCAGTTCTAGACATCCTCCTGTGCACCTTCATCCATGCTGTCCCCTCTGCCGTGGTGGGGGTGGGACTGCCCCCCACCACCTTTTATGACCTGACCGACCCCTATTTGTTCTCTCAAGACCCAGGGCCACCACCACCTCCTCCAAGAGCCTCCCTGACCCTCCCCACATCCCTGAGCTGCTTTCTAGGGGCTGGCACCTGTCAAGGCCAGGGCCAGGGCTGGTCAGAGGGAGGTTGGGCATGAACTTGGGGAAAGGGCTGACACTGGGGTGCCCAGGGCCAGCCCTGGAGAGGCCTAGGGTCTCTTCTGGGCTCAGAATTCCGGAAGCACCCTTAAGGGCATGGCACAGGGCACAGTAGGGTCTGGTCACCTCCTGCCCGGTGACCAGCAGGATGCTGCCCTCCTTGCCGTGTTGGATCTGGCGGTAGATGTGGTCAAATACTAGCAGCTCGCTCCAGCAGTTCTGCAGCAGTGTCATCTGGTCGGCCACCTGGAGGGAAGAGCACGTGTGGGGCTAGGGTCCAGCCAGGTGCAGCCAGGGACCTTCCTCTCACCCCGCCTCCTCCCAGCTCATGATTCCGAGGCTCACTTGGATATGTGACCTGGGCAAGCCGCTTCCCCTCTCCGTGCCCTTTTTGCCTATCTGCAGGGATCGAGCAAAAAAAAAAAAAAAAAAAAAAGATCCAGTGGAGGTGCTCAGAACTCAGACAGTCCTGGCTTTAGGCCCCGGCTCTGTTCCTACAAGGTATATGACCTTAAGCAAGTTCTATAGCCCTCTGAGCCTCGATTCTCTCATCTGTGAAGCGGGCAAAGTGAGGCACCCAGTGCAAGGACAGGGACTGCCCCTGTGGGGGGAGTCCTTCCGCCCCGGAGGGTCACAACATTCTAGTATGGCTAGAGTGGACGCTCGTGACCATGGCGAGTGGGACTCGGGACCGTGGGATGCCAGAGCCAGAAGAGCCCTCAGAGATCCTCTGGCCAAAACCTCTATTGTTTAGATGAAAATCTGCTGCCCAGAGAAGGCGAGGGACTCTCCTGGGATCACAAAGAGGTAGAGCCAGGCCAGAGCCATGGTTGGCCTTCTCAGTCCACAACCCTCTACAGTGTCCTGGGTGTTTGGAACTGCCCAGGACACTGCAGGTCAGCCTACAGAGACACAATATGGACGCCAGTCCCTCCCAGCACCTGCGGCTCATTCGCCGGCCGCCATCGGCCCAGCAGGTACTTCCTGGGTGGGCACCTTCCTGGGCCTGCCCCGTGATGAGTGCAAACTATGACAGCTACCAGGCACTGTGCTGCAGCCCCATGACCCCAGGAGGCTGGGACAGTTGCTATCCCCAGTCTATGGAGAGAAGACACCCCCAGGAGTCAAGTAACTTGCCCGAGGTCACACTGCTCCATCTGGTTCCTGATCCATGCTCTAAACCACCAGGGATGGAAGAGGACCCAGCCCGCTCACCCAGGCATGCTTGTTACCTCGCCCACGAAGCTCTCCCCAATCCCTCCTCCTTCCACAGCGCCCTCAACATCCTCTGGCTGTGGCACCTGCCACATCTGCTGGCACCAATTCATGCCTCTGCCTCCCTCAAGTACCTGTGGGGTCTGGGGAGGCAGGGTTGGTCTCCAGCCCATCACTGGGCTCCCAGAGAAGGGGTTTGGTGAGCAACTGATATGTGCTCCCAAGACAGGCACAGGGAGCACAGGGGAGCACAGAGGAACTACCCCCAACCCAGGGGCCAGAGAGATCCAGGCAGCCCCTGGCCTGAGGGAAACTGGCAATGCCCAATGACTAGCTCTCTCTTCTTGGGGGTAGGAGCCCCCTCCTCCCTTCAGTTCCCCCCTCCCCTGGGGGCAGCCTGGGGCCCATCCTCAGGCCGATGGAGGGTAGGGCGAGAACAAGTGTACCGAGAGCCAGTGAGCAGCCAGACACACAGTCAGGCTTCCTTCAGGCCTCACCTGCCCACTCTTTCCCCGGCCCACGGTGGCTGAGAACAAGAGGGAGGGCCTGTCTCTGTCCTGCTCTGAGTCCCCAGCCCCCCATCTTCCGTTGCTCACCTCATCCCCTTCTCTCCTGGTAGAAAGTGCTTCCCAGAGCCCAGCTCCTGTCAGAGCAAGAAGCCCAGCTGGGGCCCTAGGCTCAGCCACAGCTAGCCCTGGATTGGAGGGGCCAGGAGAGATTAAGGCCCGGGCAAGGCTGAATCACAGAGACATCTCGCCTATCTCTCCTCAGGAAGTGGCCAATCCCTGAAGAACCACGGGCAGGAGGCCTCCCCACCAGTTTCCGAGGAGGGAGGCAAGGCTCCGTGAGCACCTGCGACCGAGCCACTCTCAGCACACCCGCCCCGGCCTCCTCACCGCGTCCTATCAACGTTCTGCCCATGTTACAGATAAGGAGACAGAGGCTTGCCTAAGGTAACCAGAGGCCCTGATAGGGCCAGGCTGCTGGAGCTCGCCAGGAAGTCCCCAGGCCCGAGTAGAAGGTGCCTACCGGGAGTCGATGGCCTACCCTGGGCGACCCAGATGGAGGCAGGGCGGGAGGGAGGATGTGCGGGGCTGGGCTCTGTCCACCCCCCATTGGGGCCCTTGGGCCTGGCTTGAAGGAACAGGGGGGTGGGGAGGTGGAAGCGTGAGAGATAAGGGGGAGAATTAGGAGATAAGCATGCTGAGCTTCGGGCAGAAAGCAAGAGGGGTCACAGTGACCCGGCTGGCCAAGCCCTGGGTGCAGCAGACTCTGTACCCAGACCTCAGACCCCAGGAGTGGGGGCAGCCCTGCCCACGGGGCTGATAGGGGCGGCAGGGCAGAGAGATGCAATATTGGCTAAGCCCTGGTGCCCTGTGCCCTCTGAGTCCCCACTCAGCCAAATAACCTCCTCCGCCCTGATTTTTTGTTCTGAGAAATTGGAAAAATAAACCCTCCCTCTTTTGGTTAGAGAAGACATATGAGCACAGGGGTGTCCGCTGTGAAAGGCTCTGTGGGCCCATGGTGGACTCTCCTGCAGATGCTGCCCCAGCTGAAGTTCCCATCTACCCCCAGCCAAACGGACTCTTCATTTGCTCTTCCTCTAGATGGACAGATGGACACATAAAGACACCAAACTCCAAAACACTGCCCACACAGATGAGAGCGTGTGTGCGCGCACGCGCGCGCGCGCACACACACACACACACACACACACACCTTTTATTTCAAAGAAAACCAGAAGGCCCTAGCTGCTAGCCCTCTCCACAGGAAAGCAGGTGGCTAAGAGGCTCACTTAACCAAAGAGGGTGGTTTTCACCTTCCTTAGCTTTCTCCTGAAGCAAAGGTTCCTCCTCTGCCCTCGGACCTCCCTGGCACCCCGGGGAACAAGGACATGTGCCGTCCTGGCTCTGGGGTCCCTTGCTGGCCTGGCCTGTCTGCCCAGCCACCAGCCGCCCACCCCTCCTGCTGGTCTGCCATCTATCTTCCCGGAGCCTTGACACTTTGCAGCCTGCCCTGGAGAAGGGGTATTTATGGGTGCTGGGCTGACCTCCCTCCCAGCAGGGCCCCCCTCCGGAGCCCCCTGGGGTCTGATCCGTCTGGCAGCCGAAGGCCAGCGGGCTCTGTAATTCTCCAGGAGCTGACATGCCACGGGCCGGCCACGGTGCTCTCCTGGCCGAGTGGTTGGCAGGCCATCGTTTGTCAGCCTAAGACTGACAGAGTTACTGCTGTTTAAATGAAACCATATATCTGAGCAGTTCAATCTGTTGCCAGTCGGGGGCCTCCGAGTTGGATGTTAAGGGTGAAGTGATGTCAAGATGGGTCATTAGGCACTCTTGGCCCTCACCTCCCCCTCCCTGATTCCTATCTGGCGTCCTCCCGGCCTGCCTTTCCTGGGAACTGTCCAGGGAGGCTGACTGCCTGGGCCGACACACTGCCCTCCACCGAGCAGAGCCTGAGCAGGGACAGGGGTCTCTGCCACCACGCTGCTACACAGTTGCTTTCTAAGCCCAGGGCAAGGTGGCCACGCAGCTTCTTCCAGAACGCTAGTGCCCAGAGGAGCATGGGGACGGCCTATGCGTTCTCACCCCTCCTGGCCAGACCCGAGTACCTCCTGCAAATAGAGATTACAGGGGACAGCAGCGGCGCGGACAGGAAGGAAAGGAGCTACCCTGCAGCCTACCAAGCGCTCCCATGTGCTGCGCCCTGTGCGGGACTCCCGGCCCGTCCAGGCTCACTAAACCCTCGCTACAGGTGCAGGCACGCATTGTGGGCTGATGTTATGTCAACCCCCCGTATTTTGTAGACAAGGAAACCGCGGCCCAGAGGAGCAGTCCCTTGCCCACAGTCACGCCCGTGGCAGGTGGCAGAGCTGATGGAGCTGGAACTTGAACACAGGCTTCTCTGACCCTGGCCTTTGTTATTAACTTCCCTGTCACTGTCAACTCCAACACACCGCGACTGGGTGAGATGAAAAACAGAGACAGAGGGACATCTAAGCCGGTAGAGAGAATGGAGGAGGAGAACCCCAAGCGGGCATCCAGGCTCGCAGCATCCCTGGCAGCTCAGCAAGGACCCCAGGCCCGGCCCTGGGCGGCGAGATGTCGTCAGCATCACAGGGGGCTGAGTGGCCTCTAGGGAAAGTTCAGGCTCTGTGGTAGGAGTCCTCCCTGCCCCAGGATGGGGGGCCCCCCCTCCAGCCCTGGCTCCTGGTCCAAGCTCTGCTTTTGACCCTGCCAACCTCCCTGGACACAGAGGACCACCTGAAACTCCCTGGCACATGACACCTTTTCACATTTCTAGGCCTTTCCCTATGCCGTTCCCCCTTCCTGGAATGTCCTTAACCTTCTCAGACTGCTTTCTGGAAAGGCAGAGATCAAAGAAACCCCTCATTTCCTTAGATAGAGCCATTTGCGCTGCTGCTGGGCCCCACCGGCCCCCTTCCATCGCTCCCAGAGCCCTGGGCGGCCTGCATTGGCATCATCTGTGTGCCCGTCTGTCTCCTCCAAAAGCCTGGCTGCCTCCTGGGTCCAATTCATTCCAAGGTCGCCACTGCCCAGCCCAAGTGCCCCACTCTCAGAGCGAGAGAGCTCTGCACTTCTGTCTCCCAAGATGTATTCTGCCTGGGGGGTGGGGGTGGGGCGGGCAGTGAATGGTCACCCAGAAGGGAGAACAGGGTCACTCAGCACCATTCCCGTTTTTCTGCTTTCCCACCTCTGGCTTTGCAAACAGACACCAGCCAGGGCTTGCCGGACCAGTAGGAAAGAAGTTCCACATGGCTGATGAGGAGGCCCTCTAAGGGCTGGGCTGGTACTTATCTGCAAGGCTCCATTACAGAGGATGGTGACCATGGTTCATATTCCTGGGCTCAATTCAGAGATTCTGGGAAGGGGAAGCAGGAAGGTTTGGACCACAGAGAAGCCAGAAGCAGGAAAAAACACTCAGCAAAGCTGGGACAAAAGCACTTCCCATCCTGCGTGAAAAACCCCAAGAGACTAGGAAGGCGGCCAGAGGAAGTGCCCTGCCCCTGGATCCAGGGTTCTGGAAAGCCAGGAATGCTCTGCTCCTCCTCCCCTCCGCACAGGGGGCTCATGGGAAGTCTGGAGGGGAGGCTGGCAACCAACCCAAGGGTCCTGGGATCCTCATCCCCAACCAGGGCCTCCAGCCAGGAGTGAAAGGCAGATGGGATCGTTCAAGGCCCTGCCTCTCGTCCCATCCATGAGGTTGGCCTAAAGAGGGGGCAAGGGTGAGAAGTCCCACCCTGCGGCAGATACAGGGGCACATCCCCAGACCCTCCATCGTCGAAGCAGGAATCATCACCACCAATTCTTGACCCCCAGGGTAACCCAGGCCCCAGCCCCACGATGCCTCAAGGGCTCGCAGTGCCCACCTTCTGTCTTATCCCGCCCATGCCCAGCCCAGGCAGGCAGTGCCCCCGGCCCATCCGGCCACATGCCCCTGGAGGAAGCCCAGGCGTCAGCGCTGACAATGCTGCTCAAGGCTGCAGTGGCCCGGGCAGGGAGGGCAGCGGGCCCTGCTGTTTACATCCAGCCCCGGAATAGCCAGGGAGGCCAGCCGGGGAAAGCCAAACAGCGACCGGCCTGGACTAAAGACGGGTCTGTGCCCAGGCCAACGAGGAGGGCGGGGCCGTGCCTGGGCTCGAGGGGCCTCAGAGGTTGGCAGAGCACCCCATTCACAGGGAGCCAGGGCACCAGAGGGGCAGATCCCAGGCCTTGGGCCCTTCAAACCGCCAGGCAGGAGGGCTGGGAAGTTCTTCCCTATCTGGCCTCAGTTTCCCCTGTGGCTTTCTTGCTTACTTTAGCTGCAGGTACTTCAATCCAGGGGAAGGAAAGCCTTGCAAACAAGGAAGATTGGCTCCTTTGGGAAGATCAGTGACAGGCCCCACAATCCCCGACCTAGTCCCCACTGCACACACAGACACATGGACACACACACACACATGTGAGACCAACCATCGTGCACAAGAGATGCAGGGACAGCAGGACCTTTCACCTTAGCTGGGAAGGAGGACGTCCATAAGCATTCCAAACTCTGAGACACTAAGACCCCCACCTATGACATTTGAGGCTGGCAGGGATTGGTGGCCTCTCCAAATGGGAGGACACATCCTCTTCTCGACACCGGGCTAGGACAGCCAGAGACAGCCTCCAAAAGACTCAGCTAGTCCTTTGGGGGAGCTCAGGGTCTCAGAGGAAGAGAGATAAATGCCTACAGAGACCCTGACCAGATGAGAAAGGAATAGAGACCTAGAGGGCTGGAGAAACAGAGATGCAGAGAGAGAGCACACCAGGGAGAGAGGGACAACAGAGACAGAGGCAGAGATAAAGAAGCAGAGTCTGTGACAAATAGAGACTCAAGAAACAGAGAAAGAAAGAGGGCAGGAGGGGTGAGGGAGAGGGGGCGAGGGGCAAGGAAGGCTGTGATGGGCCAGAAACATTCCTCAGTGTCCCGAGTAAGGCCGCCCTGTGCCCCGATGCTGCCTGCAGCCAGTGGGCGGGACAGCTCCATCCAAGGGGTAACTGGGACTGAGGCTTGGCAGCCCAAGAGGACACCCCAGACCCAGCGGCCAGCCAGGAGGGAGGAGGGACTCACCTCCAGCTCCTTGAAGACCATGCACCTGCGTGCCCAGTCCACGATGGAGATGAAGGTCTGGTCAGCCATCCTGCATAGGAGGCTGAAGGGCGCAGGCTGGTCAGGGCGGCCTTTGGCTGGTTCCTGCAGGCAGCCCACAATGCGTGCCCGCACCTGGTCCTCATCTGGCTCCAGCTGCAGCAGCTGCAGGATGAGCTCGGGCACACCAGGCCCTCCGGAGAAGGGCTCTGGGTAGCCATAGGGTGGCCCAGGCTGCGGGGGACTGGCATAGGGCTCTGGGTACTCAGACTTGATGGCACGGCCAGGGAAGGTGGGATAGAGGTAGCCGGCCAGTGGCCCGTGGGTGCTGGGCACGGCCATGGGCAGTGCTGGAGCCCCAAAGTCGCCCAGTGGCCCAGCAGGTGGACCAGAGGCCAGGCCCTTGGGCTCAGGTGCGTGCAGGCCAGGGGGCAGCATGTAGTCCGGCGGTGGAGGGGGTGGGGGAGGCACCCCCATTGGGGGGCCTGTCTCCAGCTTAAAGCCATTGGCTCGAATCTGTGCCTTCTTCTGCTGCTTCAGGGCACGGTCTCGTTTGTACATGGGCCCAAACTTGTTCCGGCCACCCCGCATTCGGTCAGCGCGCACAGCTGCGGGCAGAAGCAGAGGGTCAGTCCCAGCCCCCGCAAGCCACCTGCCATAAAGCCACACTCACAGATCTTTCCCGAACTGTGTCACTTCCCCCGCTCAGCACCTTTTTATGACTCCCACTGCCCACAGATGAAGTCAGTCTCCTTAGCCTGGCATTCAAGGCCCTATTTACCCTCCTAGATCACCCTTTACAAGAGCCCATGTTCTTTCCACGCCACCTTATCTCTCTGCTCCTCTGCTTGGCACAACTCCTTCTTCCTCCACCCCGCCTTTGATATTCTTTCTGCCTCAAACCCTTTCCTTTTCTCATGCCTGCCAAACACCCAGCCCTAGGGTCACCACCTCCAGAAGTATTCCTGGATTCATCTAGGCAGAATCCACTGTCCTTGACCCAGATGTCCTGCCTCTTGTCCACTCTCATCTTGCTGAGTGGTATCATGCCATGTGACCCAGGCTGAGAGTTTCTGGGGACTCAGCAACGGGTTCAGGTGCCTAGTACAAGGCCGAGCAGGGAGATGGTGACAGGAAGCAAGCCCTCATCACAGCCTTGCTCACAGCATCCAGTCCAGTCCCCAGTGTCCAGATGCTTCTTGACTCACTGCCCGACTCGGTCGAACCCCTACTGCAAAATGACTCGGGCTTCCCCCAGTGCCTTCACATATGAAGCGGAGTTTAGGGCCGGCCCGGGTTCGGAGCTGGGAGAAGGGACCTCCCTGGCTGACCAGATGTCCCTCCGCCTGGCCAAGAATGTGTCACCAGCCGGACCCAACAGGTGCATCTCTGCAGCTGCAGTGTGGCCCCAGCCCCTGCTCAGACAGGACCCCACCCTGAGCTCTAGGAGAAGGGACAGAGCAGGAGGGAGAGGGTGGTGCCCAGGAGGGGAGGCGTCCTGGAGGTCCGTTCAGCCAGTCTTCCTGCTGCAGGCGTGAAGAGCCCAGCTCTGCTCCCTCCGCTCCATCACTTGTGACAACTAGCTCCCCTGGCCCGGAAGGACCCGGAGCTGGGGAGCTGGGGACGTTTGCCTCTCATCTAGGAGTCCTTCCTCTAGGTGGCAGGACTTGGGGTGAGCGGCTCCCAGAGCCACTAGGGGCCTTCTACACTGTTTAAAACTTTAGCCAACAGCTGCGTGCTCAGCGCACAGCCCGGCTGGGGCCGGCAGGGTGGAAGCCTATGACTGTCCACCCTCAGAAAGTTTGAGGTTTTCCTCCCCTTTGGGCTGAGGGGTGGGAAGGCAGGGATGGGCCTGGGTCCTCAGGGACCAATTGTCCCCCCTTCCCTCGCCCTCTCAGGGCCCTCCCAAGAACATGGTGGGAGGACTTTCATCCACCAAGTGAACGACCTGAGCGAACTTTTGGATGGACAAACAGATGGGTGGGATGGATGAATGACGGCTGTGATGATGGACAGGTAATAACATAAACAATGATAATAACAATGGCAGGTACTGTGTGCTAGGGTTTTACACAATTCCCTCACACTGACTCAAGGAGGAAGACACTACTGTTAGGTCCCCTTTTCAGATGGGGAATCCGCAACTCAGAGAGGTTAAGGAAGTGGCCCAGGGTCAATCAGCCTGTGCGTGGTGGCACTGGGACTTGAACTCTGTCCATAAAGGTATTAAACGCCCTGGCCCTGGGGGATGTTGGGTGTCAGTGGGGGTGTCGTAGGTCTCCTTGCAGAGGGAGGAGGTCTGCCCGGTGCTGCACACCCTCTCGGAGGCTGGAGAGAGGGTCATCTCCCGGGTGTTCACTTTCGGATACCTCTCGACCCAAGCCCGCAGAGCCTGCCCGCATCCCTTCACCAGGCGGAGCCACTCCTCACCCCTCGCCCCGCAGAGATCCGGCCCTCCCGCCACGTGAGGGGCCAAAGGGCAGCTCCAGAAACTTGAGGAAGGCCACGGGAGCCCTCCTCTCACTCCTTCCACACCGCCCCCCCGCACCCCCGACCCCCGCTGCCAGGGGTCAGCGGTGGGAGGCCGCCGCGCCGCGCGCCCACCTTCCAGGCGCATCCCCACCGTCAGGCACTTCTGGAAGCGGCAGAAGGGACAGCGCTTGCGCTGCGTCTTGTCGATCTTGCAGCTCTGGCTCTCGGTGCACGTGTAGTGCTTGTTGTTCTGCACCGTGCGCTTGAAGAAGCCCTAGGGGAGAGCGGAGTCAGCTGCGGGAGGCGGCCAGGCCCCGCGTCCCTCTCCCCGGGCCCCACAGGGCTTGTCCCCGCGTCCCGGCCGCTCGCCCGCCCTCCGAGCGCCTAGCCCGGCCGGCCCGCCGCCCGCCGCCCGCTCACCTTGCAGCTCTCGCATGTGAGCAGCCCGTAGTGGTAGCCGGACACCTTGTCCCCACACACGGGGCACAGCTCATCCAGGTCCTCGTCGTACGAATAGTCCATGCCCGCGGCGTCCGCCTGCGGACGGAGGAGAGGGTCACGGCGGGCGAGACGCGACCGGCAGCGCCGCAGACCCGGGGCCCGCGGGATCGCCGCCCCCACGGCGCTGCCCCCGCCGCCCCCGTTACCGCGCCCGTTGCCGGCCACCCATTCGAGCGCCCTGAGCAGCCCGCCCTGGGATGCGGCCCGAGCGGCCCGCGCCTCGGCCTTTACCGCCCCTGTCCCGCCGCTCCTGCTCCGCGCGCCCCCCCCGCCCCCTCTCCCGGGGGCTCCTCGGGCGAGGTCTGCGTCGCGCCCGATCCGGGACCCTCGGTTCGGTGCGCTCGGATCCGGATTCGTTCGTCTGAGAACAAAACCCCGATTCTGAGAAAACGAGATGGGCTCCGCCGCGGGGGAGACACCGGCGAACCCGGCCAGTGTGGGGCCTTGAGTGTTCTGGGGATCGGACAGGGACGAGAGGGACAGAGACAGAGTCTGGGGGAGACAGAGAGATGGGCCGAGCGAGAGCGAGAGATACCGACCGACGCTGCCTAACGGAGCGAGTGCCCTGAGGCGACAGAGACAACGAAAATCCGAGACTGACAGAGACACACTGATGCGGGCAGAGAAAACTCGGGGGAGGCGAGACAGAGAGACACGGAGATGGAGAACGAAAGAGAGAGAGATCAGAGACACCGAGAGGCAGAGGCCCAAGAGAAACCCTGAGAAAGGCAGACGCAGAGCCAGAGACACAGCGGTAGGCGAGAGACAGCCCGAGACACGGAGAGGCGAGAGAAGCCCGGGAGAGAAGGCGGCAGCGGGGGGGGGGGGGGGGGGGGGGCGGACAGAGACACTGAGGGAGAACCTGGAGAGACGGAGGCGCCCAGCGAGGGGACCGGGGCCGGGAAGACGCGCGGAAAGCGGCGGGACGCGGGCGCCCGGGCTCCGAGGCGTGGCCCCCGCAGGGTCGGACGCCGCCGGGGGCTAGCGCCAGGAGAGGCGGAGAACGACGGCGCCCCGGACCGAGAGCCCGAAAGCGCCGAGCCGCCGGGGCCCCGGGGCTGGGAGAGACAAAGCCCGCGGCAGCGACGGCAACGGGAGGCGCGGCCCGTGCCACCGAGACCGAGACGTCGGGCGGAGGGAGGGCGCAGCGGAGACGCCGGGTGTGGAGTCGCAGGCCGGGCGTGAGGCGCAGAGACCTCGGGTGGAGACCCAGCGGGCTCCGGGGGACCGAGCCCGAGGCGGGGGGTGCGGGGAGAGACCTCGGGCGGAGAGTCGAAGTCCCAAGGAGGGAAGCGCGCAGAGCCGGGGCCCAGGAAGCGAGAAGGGGCGCGACGGCGGCCGCGGCCGGCCCGGCGCCCACCTGGAGGCTCCTGCGAGCAGCAGCGCCCCGCGTCCCGCCCGCGCGGAGCCCCGCACCTCCCGGCCGCGCCGCCGCCGGCGATGAGCCGCACCCGGGCGCAGCGCCGCCTGCCCGCGATGACTGCCGATCGGGCCGGGGGCGGGGAGGCGGGGGCGCGGGGCCTCGGAGCCCCCCCCACACACACACCCAGCCTCCCCACCCCCCGCCGCGTCCAGGGCCGCACCAAGGCGCACCTGGGACCCGGGCCCCTCCGCCGCCAATGCGCGCTGCGCGAACCCGCCTCGCCGGGGCCAGGGGCCGGCCCCTCTATATCAGCGCGTGCGGTATCCGGGGGCGGAGGCCCGGCCCGCGCCCTCCCCCGCCACCCAGCCTGGCTAGCGCCTTTACCCTGACCCTCTCGGCCCCCCACTCCCAGCCCGGGCGCCTCGGAATCCGGGCAGGTGCTGGGCTCCTGGGAGCCTCAAGCCACCCAGGAGGCGAGCCCCTGTTTGCTCATCCAGCTTAGTCGTGGCAAGGGCCACTTTGGGGGCGCTGGTCGTTTTGCAGCGTGGAAGTGGGTAAGGGCGAACGTGGGGGTCTATGGCCAAGGCACGGGTTCAAGGCTAGAAACCAGGTTCGTGCCCTGGCCCTGCCATATTTCCTCACTGGAGACTTAAGCAAATCTAGACACACACACACACACACACACACACACACACACACACACACACACACACACACGTCCTCGTCCTCAGTTTGCTTATCTGTGAAGCGGTAATGATGACTGGACTTCCTTAAGGGTGGGCACGCGGATAAACCCAAGAGGTGTTGGCAAAACGCATGCCTTAGCACTGCGGAAGCGACCAGTAGGACCCAGCTGGGAGACCTGGGGCAAACCCTTTCTCCACCGTAGGCCTCAGTTTGCTTGGCCGGAAATGGGAATCCTCCGAGGTCTAGCGAGGACCCGAAGCCACCGAGGGCGCGGGAGCTAGGAGAACAGAGGGACCCCTTCCCCCTTCCCCTTCTGAGCCCCTCCCCGGGCTGGGGGATGGGGAAGGGAGCGTCTGGCATCCCCGGGACAAAGGGGTTGCTCGGGCTGGACTACGCTGAGCAATTGCTCTGGGTGAGGAAAGGCTACCTCGTCACTCTCATTTTTCAGATGAAGAAAATTGAGACCAGAGAAAGGGGCCCGCTCTCGTCTTGCCCCCGCCCCCTCCGCGGAGAAGGGTATTGAGATCAGCAAGGCCAAAAAGCCGCGATCTTCAAGCCGGGGGCCGCGGGGGTGGGGGGGAGGTGTGGAAAAACCACAGTTTGGCAGGCGCAGCGACGCGACCGACCGATCTGAAGACTCTGGCCCTTGGCCTCGGCCAACTTCGTCTGGGCCCCCGACCAGAGCCTCCCCCGACCCGAGCCTCCCCCGCCACCCGGCTTGGGTTGGAGTTGGCACCTTGGTCCTGCGAGCCGAGGCTGGAGACCCCGCGCAGACCATTCCTCCTATCTTTCACCCCGCGGAAGAAAGGGCGGAATAGACAGCCGACTTGCTGTGCAAGCTCAGCCGGGTCACTTTGCTTCTCTGAACCTCAGTTTCTCCGCATGTAAAATGGAAAAGTTTGGCCCTGCAGAAGGGGTTCTGCAAGATGCCGTGGACAAATCTTGGTGAGAAAGGCGAGAGAGCCCAGCCTGAGTTTGGCTGCAGACTCCCCACATGGGACCCCTGAGAAACACGAGCGTCTGCGGAGCTGGAGGTGAGGAGCTAGTGGCCTCTCAACAGAACTCCGTCGGGGAGGGGCCCTCAGAAAGTGGAAAACAGGACGGGTACCACCTCTGTAGGGGAGCGAAGGGGATTGAGGGGGAGGGCTGGAGTCTCCTGGACATTGCTGAGGAGGACTCAGGCAAGGCTGGGGACCCAGGTGGTCTAGGGGGCAGGGCCCAGAGCCGGTTCTCCCCTTCTCCCTCCACCTCTACCTCCTTTTTCTCCAGAGGCTACACTATCCCAGGCTGGGAGCCCTGCAGTTGACCCAGGCTCCACTGCACCCACCCTCACCCACATACCCAGGGAAGGAAACATCGATCTGGACCAGCCACGGACCGAGAACTGACAGATGGACATTGAGGACAGACCCACAAATCGATACAAATCCACGGAGACAACACAGAACCACAAGCAAGGATACCCAGAGACCCAAAGACAGACCCAGGGACCATGGACACATTCATGGACTGCTAGGCTTGGGCCAACACAGCCCTGTGAACACTCGGCCACTAGTAGACAGAGGGACACCGCAGACCCCCATGGAGCCTGTCCCCAAAGGCCTAGCGCCTCCCATCAGCTGCCCAGGGAAGAAGAGGGGGTAGCATGATGGGAGGGCAGGTCTGGGGCAATCTCTGGCCTCTTCCCTGCCCAGAGCAGCGGGCACCAGTCACCCAGCCGAGCAGGCAGTGGCCGGCCCAGGCCGCAGGGAGGCACTGAGGAGGGAGGCTGGCCATTAGAGGCCTGGGCCCAGGCCCTCACTTACGGAGCGGAAGGAGAGCTCTCACGCCGGATGAGGGTGGACAGTGGGCACCAGGGGTCCGAGCGAAGGCTCCGGCAGCCCAGGTGGGGCAGTGGTGACCGTGGGTACACAGGAACTCCTTCACGCCACGGCGGGCGGCAGGCGGACGGTAGGCTGGCCCTGTCCGTCGGTCCTCCTCCTCCCCGCCCTGGCGGGGGGGGCCACCGGAGGCCCAATTGGTCTCTGCCCCCACGTGACTCTGCAGGCCTCTCTCCTTCTTTGTTGGTGTTTCTCTTCATTTAGGCCTATTTTTTTCTTCTCCTAAAAGAAAAAAAATACCCCTATCTATCTGGGGGCCGCGGTGGGGGTGGAGGCCAAGGCACTCTGGAGGCCTTGGCCAGCTGGATGCTCCAGGCCGCTGTGGGAGCCCAGAGGCAGGGACCCCATGTAGGCGGTTAGGCAGCCCCGCTTGTTAGTGACTGGGTGGGAGTGGGGCCTGATTTATGGGCGGCTCCCCCACCAGGCCGGCAGCCTGGCCTCTCTCCCCTTGGATGGCTACCTCCCTGGGGCCTGGCCCGGCGGGGTCCGGCCTGGCCCAGACATGGGAGTGGAGTCAGGTCGGGCTGGAGTGGAGGCAGGGGCATGGATGACTTGACCAGGTGGCTCTGCTGCTTTGGCTTGATCTTTTTCTCTTCCAGAAGGTGAAGAGAGGAAGAAGGGAATGGAAGGCAAGCAGGTGAGCTGACCGAACACCTCCCGTGTGCATTCCACGTTGGCTGCTCTGAATGTCACCATCTGCTGGGGGCTGCTGATACTCCCAGTGGAGAGCTGGGAAAGTTGAGGCTGGGCTGAGACTGCCTCCAGGGCCAGGTGGTTGCCTATAGTGGTCACAGGTTGGGCCAAGTGGGTAGCTAGGCCCGGATAGGGCAGGGCAGAGGGCAGGGGGTTTTGTCTAAAAGGCCGGGCCTCCCCACACAGCCAGGGATGTCCCTGTCCAACCTCCAGGCCCAGACCGGTCCTGAACTGTCCTGGTTCCATAGGGCCCCAATTGTTCTGTTTTGCACCCCTCTGCTGCATGACACCCTCTTTTGTGCATTCCTTCATTCGTCTCCATTTCCTGAGTGCACACTAGATGCCAGGCGCTGGTCCGGGCACTGGGGAAAAGGGAAGAAGAAGGAGGAAGTTTCGGTCCTTCTGTCCCCTAGGCATTGGTCCTGGGAGTTGGGGAGGGACACAGGGCGCCACGGGGCAATCACTGTTGAGAACCCTCTCCACACTCCTTCATTTGAGGAAACAGGCCCATCACACAACATCTCACTTATCTGGCTTGGGAGGAGAGGGATTTTCTGGATAACTGAAGTCGACTATATTTAACACCTGGAGTGTCTTCCTCACTGTGCCACTTCACACATTTAAAAAAAAAAAAAGATTTCTTTATTTTAGAGAGAGAGAGAGTGCAGGGGGAGGGGCAGAGGGAGAGGAAGAGAAGCAGACTCCCTGCTGAGCACGGAGCCCCTCGCCAGGCTCCGTCTCACGACCCTGAGATCGTGACCTGAGCCGAAATCAAGAGTTGGTCGCTCAACTGACTGAGCCACCCGGGCGCCCCCAACACATTTTTTTATTGTGAAAATACATATAAGACAAAAATCTCATTGACAGTCATAAGTAACTGATTCCACTGATTAAATATACAGTAGTCTCCCCTTATCTGTGGTTTTGCTTTCCGCTGTTTCAGTTACCTGTGGTCAACTGGGGTCAGGGAGTAGATGATCTTCTTTGTGACGTGTTGTTAGAAGGTCAGCACGAAGCAGCCTCACGCTACGTCACAGTGCCTCCACCGTTCGGCCCACCTCCCATCACGTAGGCATTTTATCATCTCATGAGGAGAAGGGTGAGTACGGTACACGATATTTTGAGAGAAACCACATACACATAGCTTTTATTACCAGTATGTTGTTATACCTGTCCTGTTTTATTATTATTGTTACTCTGCCTAACTTATAAATTAAACTTTATCATAGGGATGTATGTATAGGAAAAAGCATAGTGTATATACGGTTCACTACTATCCATGGTTTTGGGTGCCGGAGCGGGGGGTGGGGAGGGTCTTAGAATGCATCCTCTGCCAATAAGGGGGACTACTATATTCTAATTCTAATTTCTACATATGACATAATATATAACTTATTTCCCAACATGCATGACCTCATAATTATGTCTTTTCCACCCACTGAAGTTCTTACAAGATATATTTCTCTTGCATCTGACTGAACCTAACTAATCTCCCCCATTTTAATGCAATGATTTTGTTTCTGGATTAATACCATTCATCCTCTGAATTTAAAAAGAAATATCTCAGGAAGCACCTTTACATCACTGACATGTCACTTACACGTAACAACAATAATCATAGTCCTTTGCACCTCCTTTGATGGGAGACTGTGAAATGGGGTCTACTTTCACTGCCTTCTTAAACAGGGTCTTTCAACACTGTGGTGCCATGGAAAGAACTAGATTGGCCTGGTCAGTCTCCTGATGAGGCTCCGAGTCCTAAGAAGGAGAAATGTGAGGGATTAGTGGTGGAGACTCTGGCTTAAATTCCAGTTCTGCCATTTCCCAGCTGTGTGACCTGGGACCAGTCACTTCTCTCTCTGGGCCTCCCATCCTCTCCATAAAATGGGGACAAGATGAGACAATGCATGCACCACGCTCAGTGGCTGCCAGGTATGTCGTGTGCGCAATGTTAGCAAAACACAAACACCAAGCCCCCGGACTGGCGGGTCTGCCCTCAAGGGCCTTTTCGCTGTGGAGTCTGAGATTGTACCATCAGCCTGAGCACTGTTAGCCCTTCTGTGATAGAGTGACTCACCCCAGCCTGGGGAACCCTCAAGGAAGGGCTCAGGGCCGAATGAGCTCTGGGTCCACAGGGGCCAGCCCAGAGCAAGCGTCAGTGAGCATCTGCGGAATGCCTACTTGCCTCTGCACCAAAGGCCTCACATGCTGCCTGTGGGGGTGGAATTCTGCCGCCCGTCCCTCTGTCCTGTTGCTTTCTCTGTAGGCGGTCGGCGGACACTTTCCACCACCCAGGCTCGGCCCTGCTCCCCTCTGATCGCCCTGGATATGTTTACGGGCATCCCCTTCCTCTGCGCTGCCCCTCCTCGGCCCTCACCCCTACTGGGTGAGGCAGGCAGGGCATGGTGAGGCCCTAACACAGAGGTGCCTAAGCGCCAGGTCCCCTGCTATTCCACACCTGTGGTCAGCCTCCACCATCCTGGGAGGTAGGTAGTATTTTCCCCTCACTTTCCATGAGCAGCATTTGAGAGATGAAGAAACTCGGGTTCAGGGAGACGAGGTATCTTCGCAAAGTCACAAAGCGAGGAAGGGTGTGATGGAACTAGGATTTAAATCCAGGCAGTGGGCTTGCAGAGTCAGCGTCCTCTCCCCTCTGCCAGAGCCCCTGGGTGGCCCATTTGTCTTCCTTCAAGCTCCAGCCCAGGTGGTCCCAGGCCATGAGACCCACCCAGAGGGGAAGGAGAAGCGGTGACCCAGGCTCCCCCCACCTCCCAAGCAAACAAAGCCCAGGGTCTCTCTTCTAAGTGGGGACTTTCCCAAAGTGCCAGGCCTATTTCCTGGTGATGGAATAAGGAACAAACAAACTAGAGACCTAGAAACTGAAATGGAGAGGAGAAAGAGAGAGAATCAGGCTGGGGTTGGGGCACAGTGTAGAAAAACAAAGAAAGAACCCACAGACAGATGAGGCAGAAAGTGAGAGAAGAGAGACCCCCTGACAGCCTACCAGACCCAGACATGGTCAGGGGGTGGAGGGGGAGGAAGGGGGGGTAGAGAGAGAGAGAGCACGGGACAGAGGAAGGAGAGAGAAGGAGAGGCAGAAAGAATGAGAGCCATTTAGAATGAGAGAAAGGAGAAATGGGGGAGAGGGAGACTGAGGCAGAGAGTGAGAAAAGAGAGCGGGGCAGGGCCGGGAGCTAGAGGCAGAGGGGCTGTGGACGTGGAGACCCCGGCAGGGCCGTGGAGGGGGCGGGGCTGTTGGCAGCAGTGGAGGCTGTTTCCGCTGCACCCCTTATCAGCCTGCTGCCAGATGTTCAGATCCGATGCCAATGTCAGAGAAGTCCATAGTGCCAGGTCAAGGCCGTGGCCAGCAGGAGCCTCAGCTGCAGGCTGGGGAGGGGAGCTGGGGGACGGCAGTAGACCTGCCTGCTCTTCTCCCTGTGCCTCCTGGTTCTCTGGACTGGACCACATTGGGGTGGGGGGGACGCCAGGTGCCCGTGGGGGCTACTTCTCTGGGCCGAGAGCAGGGACTTGTGGAGGCAGAGTGGGGCTCCCGGCAGCACGTGGACACATACGTGTGCGCAAGCCCCCGCGTGCGTGGAAGCACGTGGACACAGGCCCGCAGACCTGCACGGGTGCCCATGAGGGGACCACTCACGGGCAGTTTGCAGCTCTCCTCGGCTGGAGCCCCCCTGCTCGGCCTGGTCACCCCCTCACCTGAGCCAGGGCTGCAGCTGGAGCTGGAGAAGTAAGGCTCTGTGGCTGGCAGGGGTCCCAGGGCCCACCCTGCTCTTCTGCAAAGGGGACACTCACGGAATCTGCACGCCCTTAAAGGCTGGACTGAGGGACCTGGGACCTTCTAGAATCCGAGGCCTGGTGAAGATCCTCGGGAGGAGACGCAGGAGCTGGGTGTCTGGCAGGGCTGGGGCTTCAGCCTTGGGCCTGGGCCTCTCCGCCATGCTCCTGGAGCGTGCAGCCGCAGCTGGGGCCCCCTGCCTGGGATAGTTTATCTCTCAGCGCACACGCTTGGCCCTCAAGGGGTGACCCAGCCTTGCTCCCCACATTCCTCTCCAACCACGCAGCCGGTGGGCCCCCCACAGCCCTGAGACATGGCCTGTACTTGGGGGGTGGTCAGGAGCAACCACTCAGAGCCATCTCGCTGACCTCTTGGCCCCGGCCCTTTGCAGCTGTCTCTGTTTTTCTCTGCTTTTGTCTCTGAGCATCTCTGATGTTGTCTCTGCCATGATTAATCTGTGTCTACCACTATTTTTGCCTCAATCTTTCTCTGGGAATGTCCCAGTTTGTTTCTCTCTGTTTCCGTCCTTAGTCTG